GGAGAGACAGCCAGGGGAGAGAGAGCGAGGAGAGACAGCCAGGGGAGAGAGAGCGAGGAGAGAGAGCCAGGGGAGAGAGAGCGAGGAGAGACAGCCAGGGGAGAGAGAGCCGGGAGAGACAGCCAGGGGAGAGAGAGCTGGGAGAGACAGCCAGGGGAGAGAGAGCCAGGGGAGAGAGAGCGAGGAGAGACAGCGAGGGGAGAGAGAGCGAGGAGAGACAGCGAGGGGAGAGAGAGCGAGGAGAGACAGCCAGGGGAGAGAGAGCCAGGAGAGAGAGAAGAGAGACAGACAGGAGAGAGAGAGCGAGGAGAGACAGACAGGAGAGAGAGGAGAGACAGACAGGAGAGAAAGAAGAGAGACAGACAGGAGAGAGAGAGAGCGAGGAGAGACAGCCAGGGGAGAGAGAGTAAGGGAAGTTTTTTTTCTTTGTTGGTAGATCTCATGTAACTCGTCATTTGAAAAGTAGATCTTAACACAAAAATGGTGGGTAGGGAGTTCCAGAAGACAGGAGAAGCTCTGAAGAAGTCCTGGAGGTGACCACGTGAGGAGGAGATTGGAGAGCAGGAGGATCTTGAGTGGGTGATATGAGATGAGACTGGAGGTGTAGCCAGGGGCAGAGCCGTGGATGGCGTGATTGGTATGTTGGATTCTATGCGTTGGGTAGATGCTGATCCCGGGCCAATGGGCCGGAAGAAAGATACTCAACCGAACATCTATAGGTCTGGCTCCAGAGCCTTGCCCTCACCTCCACCTGCAATCAAACTTATGAGTTGCCTTCACGCAACGCACGCCAGAGCGGACAGGGGTGAGGGGGGTTATAGAATTGACTCGTATCAGACCATGTGTGTATATTGTGTGTTATGTGTTTAGAGGAAGCGCGGCGATCTGGAGGAACGCGGAATTGTTTTGCTTGCTTAGCAGGACGTCACATGGATGAAAATGGCATTGTGAAGAACGCAGAGGAAGACCGAAACTTCCTGCGTATCATAGATCAGCATGCGCATGGACTAACATTGCACCACAGCGCCATCTACAGCCCAACAGACAAATTACAGTCAGGCTCCCCTGTGAACTATGCATGCCATCATGCTTTGGGACATTAGTGATGGTGGTGGGCGGGGACAGCACTGTGGGCGGGAAGTCATTGGCAAGCATGGAATGGCAGAACAGACAAGGCGCGTGATGAGCGGTCAATCAACCGATGCAACACAGAGGGGCGGGGCACAGGGGGAGTCTGAGTGGCCTGGGACCGCCCACTGCAACAATGTAACTACATCGGCAACAAACTGCATGGGGCAGTTACACTTCCGGGGCCCCTCTCATGGGGGGAGCAGAGTGGCCCCCGGTCCTTACAAACAGGATTTTGGGGGGGCAGTGAGCAGGGGCCACAGTACCCGATGAATGACTCGCTGCATGGACAATGGAAGGAATATCGATGAGTTAGAGGTTTGTATGAAATCGTTTGTCGGAACGTTCCATCTTTCCAGCTGCGTTCCTTCCCAAGTCCCTAAAATCTTCCTCCAGATCGGCAACGCGATGGAATCTACTGAACTGGTTGTTTCCTGCCTAGCGCGCATGTGTATTCCAATATGTGGGATGTCTCCATCATGGCGGATCGCGCCCCAACAACCGTCAGACGACCAAACGTCCCGAAAAACAAACATGTCCTGCCGGAATCTGGCCGGGTTTGGAGAAGACGGATACAAGGGGCGCGGCATGGGGTCAGGGAGATGCGTGGTTGGGGACAGGCAGGAGGTCGGGACTGGCGGCGGACGCATGTAGGTGGGTGGCACAGGCGAAGAAGAACAGTGACCAGGAGATCGGTCAGCAGAGGAACTATACCAGGGTGACGGTAGAAGGCGCAGGGTACCAGATATGGCAGGAATAGGAAGCAGGAACAGGGCAGAGGAAGCAGGAACGGGGCACAGGAAGCAGGAACGGGGCACAGGAACAGGTTAATGGAAGCAGGAACAGGGTGCAGGGCACGGAAAGCAGGGACAGGAAGCAAGCACAGGGCGCAGGAACAGTGCATAGGAAGCAGGAACAGGGCAGAGGAAGCAGGAACGGGGCACGGGAAGCAGGAACGGGGCACAGGAAGCAGGAACGGGGCACAGGAAGCAGGAACGGGGCAATGGAAGCAGGAACAGGGGGCGGGGCACAAGAGCAGGAACAGGGCAATGGAAGCAGGAACAGGGGGCAGGGCACGGAAAGCAGGGACAGGAATCAGGAACAGGGCACAGGAAGCAGGAAAACAGCACAGGAAGCAGGGACAGGGTAATGTAAGCAGGAACAGTGCATAGGAAGCAGGAAGAGGACATAGGAAGCAGGAAGAGGGCATAGGAAGCAGGGACAGGGCACTGGAAGAAGGAACATGGTAATGGAAGCAGGGATGGGGCACCGGAAGCAGGAACAGGGCACAGGAAGCAGGAACAGGGCACAGGAAGCAGGAATGGGGCACAGGAATAGGGCACTGGAAGAAGGAACAGGGTAATGGAAGCAGGGATGGGGCACCGGAAGCATGAACAGGGCACAGGAAGCAGGAACCGGGCACAGGAAGCAGGGACAGGGCACTGGAAGAAGGAACATGGTAATGGAAGCAGGGATGGGGCACCGGAAGCATGAACAGGGCACGGGAACAGGGCACAGGAAGCAGGAACAGGAACAGGCTCCGGTGACACACGCTGGGTCTATCATGACGCTGTTAGGAGGAGTTGTCACTGACGCAGGGTGTCACTAGCGGGAGATTCCCCTCACTTCCTGTTCTGGTGGCAGCTGAATCGCTTCACTCTCATCTTGTTGTCACCAGAGAAGGATGAGATGGGAAATCTCTGTGATGGGGACACAGCAAAAACAAAACAATGGTTCCAACTGTTCCCGACTCCAGAAGCTGTGATGTCCAGAGGTGTCTATAATAACAATGGTGGCTTCTACCGTTCCCGCCCAACTACAAGAGTACCTGTCATAGCGGGGACCAGGAGCAGGCAATCTCTAGCACTTCATCTGTGTACGTACTACAAGTCCCAGGAGGCACTGCAGTACTCCCGACAGCCACGGACATGACTCCCAGAGGCAGAGGAATGATGGGATTTGTATTTTCCCCACAGCTGCAGTCAGCTTCCCCGGGGGGCAGATTTATCAAAACTGGAGCCGTCAGAATCCGGACTAACCAATCAGCTTCAGTATATTCGGTTGTGAGATGAAAAGGAAAGAGAGAAGCTGATTGGTTGTCACGGGCAGCGGCTCCTCCCATTGTACGGCTCTGTGATTGGCTCCGGAGATTTCTCTGTAAAGAGATACAAATGTCCGGCCCCCGGCTTCCTCCCCCCCGGGATTCTCACATTTCACTTTCTATAGAGACAGAAGAAAACAAAGTGACAGAAACGTTTGTATCGGATCCTGCGCGGTGTCCATGCCGGGAGAGAAGGGGTTAAGTATGGAGCTGGGGGAGGGGGAGGTGTAATGTGAGTCCCCCATCATGGAGGATCCTCCTGTGTACTTCCTCCAGGCTTCTCACACAGGCCCCGCCCCTTCCTCTCCAGCCAACACTGTGTGTGCAATGTGCTTCCTGGACGGAGATCTCCGCCGTACCGACACCGCGCTGACCACCGGATGAGACGCCACCGACCGACCCACCGGACACCAACACAGCGCCACTTCCCTTCTGTATGTACGGACGCGGCGCCACTTCCCTTCTGTATGTATGGACGCGGCGCCACTTCCCTTCTGTATGTATGGACGCGGCGCCACTTCCCTAGGAACGGGGCACAGGAACAGGTTAATGGAAGCAGGAACAGGGTGCAGGGCACGGAAAGCAGGGACAGGAAGCAAGCACAGGGCGCAGGAACAGTGCATAGGAAGCAGGAACAGGGCAGAGGAAGCAGGAACGGGGCACGGGAAGCAGGAACGGGGCACAGGAAGCAGGAACGGGGCACAGGAAGCAGGAACGGGGCAATGGAAGCAGGAACAGGGGGCGGGGCACAAGAGCAGGAACAGGGCAATGGAAGCAGGAACAGGGGGCAGGGCACGGAAAGCAGGGACAGGAATCAGGAACAGGGCACAGGAAGCAGGAAAACAGCACAGGAAGCAGGGACAGGGTAATGTAAGCAGGAACAGTGCATAGGAAGCAGGAAGAGGACATAGGAAGCAGGAAGAGGGCATAGGAAGCAGGGACAGGGCACTGGAAGAAGGAACATGGTAATGGAAGCAGGGATGGGGCACCGGAAGCAGGAACAGGGCACAGGAAGCAGGAACAGGGCACAGGAAGCAGGAATGGGGCACAGGAATAGGGCACTGGAAGAAGGAACAGGGTAATGGAAGCAGGGATGGGGCACCGGAAGCATGAACAGGGCACAGGAAGCAGGAACCGGGCACAGGAAGCAGGGACAGGGCACTGGAAGAAGGAACATGGTAATGGAAGCAGGGATGGGGCACCGGAAGCATGAACAGGGCACGGGAACAGGGCACAGGAAGCAGGAACAGGAACAGGCTCCGGTGACACACGCTGGGTCTATCATGACGCTGTTAGGAGGAGTTGTCACTGACGCAGGGTGTCACTAGCGGGAGATTCCCCTCACTTCCTGTTCTGGTGGCAGCTGAATCGCTTCACTCTCATCTTGTTGTCACCAGAGAAGGATGAGATGGGAAATCTCTGTGATGGGGACACAGCAAAAACAAAACAATGGTTCCAACTGTTCCCGACTCCAGAAGCTGTGATGTCCAGAGGTGTCTATAATAACAATGGTGGCTTCTACCGTTCCCGCCCAACTACAAGAGTACCTGTCATAGCGGGGACCAGGAGCAGGCAATCTCTAGCACTTCATCTGTGTACGTACTACAAGTCCCAGGAGGCACTGCAGTACTCCCGACAGCCACGGACATGACTCCCAGAGGCAGAGGAATGATGGGATTTGTATTTTCCCCACAGCTGCAGTCAGCTTCCCCGGGGGGCAGATTTATCAAAACTGGAGCCGTCAGAATCCGGACTAACCAATCAGCTTCAGTATATTCGGTTGTGAGATGAAAAGGAAAGAGAGAAGCTGATTGGTTGTCACGGGCAGCGGCTCCTCCCATTGTACGGCTCTGTGATTGGCTCCGGAGATTTCTCTGTAAAGAGATACAAATGTCCGGCCCCCGGCTTCCTCCCCCCCGGGATTCTCACATTTCACTTTCTATAGAGACAGAAGAAAACAAAGTGACAGAAACGTTTGTATCGGATCCTGCGCGGTGTCCATGCCGGGAGAGAAGGGGTTAAGTATGGAGCTGGGGGAGGGGGAGGTGTAATGTGAGTCCCCCATCATGGAGGATCCTCCTGTGTACTTCCTCCAGGCTTCTCACACAGGCCCCGCCCCTTCCTCTCCAGCCAACACTGTGTGTGCAATGTGCTTCCTGGACGGAGATCTCCGCCGTACCGACACCGCGCTGACCACCGGATGAGACGCCACCGACCGACCCACCGGACACCAACACAGCGCCACTTCCCTTCTGTATGTACGGACGCGGCGCCACTTCCCTTCTGTATGTATGGACGCGGCGCCACTTCCCTTCTGTATGTATGGACGCGGCGCCACTTCCCTTCTGTATGTATGGACGCGGCGCCACTTCCCTTCTGTATGTATGGACGCGGCGCCACTTCCCTTCTGTATGTATGGACGCGGCGCCACTTCCCTTCTGTATGTATGGACGCGGCGCCACTTCTCTTCTGTATGTATGGACGCGGCGCCACTTCCCTTCTGTATGTATGGACGCGGCGCCACTTCCCTTCTGTATGTATGGACGCGGCGCCACTTCCCTTCTGTATGTATGGACGCGGCGCCACTTCCCTTCTGTATGTATGGACGCGGCGCCACTTCCCTTCTGTATGTATGGACGCGGCGCCACTTCCCTTCTGTATGTATGGACGCGGCGCCACTTACCTTCTGTATGTATGGACGCGGCGCCACTTCCCTTCTGTATGTATGGACGCGGCGCCACTTCCCTTCTGTATGTATGGACGCGGCGCCACTTCCCTTCTGTATGTATGGACGCGGCGCCACTTCCCTTCTGTATGTATGGACGCGGCGCCACTTCCCTTCTGTATGTATGGACGCGGCGCCACTTCCCTTCTGTATGTATGGACGCGGCGCCACTTCCCTTCTGTATGTATGAGCGCGATGCCACGTTTTTCTTCTCTTGTTCTGTATGTTGGGTGTAATTTTCGGTCATGCATGCTCATGGTGTAATATTAGACTCCTCCCCCCCTGTGTCAGTATAGTAACGTAGCAGAGGGGGCAGTCTCTCCCACTGGGCATTATTACTTCATCATGGTCACGCTCCATAGACCAGTAGAGCCACGTATGTAGCATGTCGTGTGTACAGAATATTTCCTCCTCCTACATACAGTATATTGCTTTAGTAAAACGCAGCAGTGGGACAGAGACTCCCATTGCACATTATTATTTCTTCTTTAGGGGGCTGTGAGGAATGGGTTGTCTGGGCCCCAGTTGAAGACACATTATGGGGTCGCAATGGACACGCGGAGGGAGAATCTTTCCCGACCGTTACATGTCAGAGTGTCCGTAATACACGTTGAGATTTGTGATTGCAGGTGACCCACTAGAGACCCCGAAGGTTTGTGGGTGCAGGTCGCAGATTTAGACTTTGTCTGACTTCTCTACTGATTTTGCTTTTTTTAGGACACCCTCCCTGTGACCCAGAGGTGCCGAGGAATCCCGGGGGGAGGGGTCACAGTTCTGGTCGTCGTCTCGGAATATGGAGGAGGAACGGATGAAGATGACGGAGAGGATATTGGGTCTTACTATGGAGTTCATCTGCCTGCTGACAGGAGAGGTGAGGAGGATTCTGGGAATTTCAGCATCATTCATATTTTAACTAGGGATGGTCCAAATGTGTTCGAATTGAACATCGGCAGGTCGAGCGCTCTCGCCGAACGTTCGCGGTTTGTCAAAATGCCCTCTGAAGCTCTGATTTGTTAAAGTCTTGCACCTGACCACAGGTCAGGCGCAAGACTTTGCCCAATCAGGGCTCAGCGGAGGAGGGGCCTGAAGGAGAAAGTTCTCTATCAGG